AAACTGTTTTCCACAGCTACATCATTTTACCTTCCAATCAGCAATGTATGAGGATTTGAACTCACATTCTCCCCATTACTTGTCTTTTTTTTTTTTTTTAACACTTTTTTTTTTTTTTTTTTTAGCACTTATTTGTCTTTCTTTTCCCCATTGAATGGTCTTGTTATCCTTGTTGAAAGTCAATTGACTATAAATGTAAGGGTTTATTTCTGGGCTCTCAACTTTATTCCATTGATTGGTAGGTCTATCTTTGTGCCAGTACTATACACTTTTTATTATCGTAACTTTATAGTAAGTTTTGGTATCAAGAAAAATAAAGATAGAAAGAAAGAAAGAAAGAAAGAAAGAAAGAAAGAAAGAAAGAAAGAAATAGGAGTCCTCCAAATTTCTTTTTTTTTTTTTTTTCAAGATTGTTTCGACTTTTCTGGGTCACTTGCTGTGCAGTAAAGAGTAATATAGCAGGCTTATGATTTTTAAAAAAGATCTTCTGATGGGATCGGGAGGGAGACAAACCATAAGAGTCTCTTAATCTCACAAAACATAAAAAGGGTTGCCAGGTAGGGAGAGGGTGGTGGGCTTATGGACATTGGGGGAGGTATGTGCTATGAAGTGTGTAAACCTGTCGATTCACAGACATGTATCCCTGGGGTTAATAATACATTACATGTTAATAAAAAAATTTTTTAAAAAATTTTTTAAAAATTAAAAAAAGATCTTCCTACTAGGTTAGATCTTGCCTTGAAACTGGTTTCTAATGAAAGTAGCTCACTATACTTGAACTGTTTATATAAACAGTATGGTTTATTTGAACACCTGCCTGCCTTCTGGGAATCTGAAGTTTTGGTATATGCTAGTTAGAGGGTGCCCACATACCACATGAATGCCCCAGTGAATTCCCTGGGCACTGACTGCCTAATGAGCTTCCCTGTGGACATTTCACACATGTTGTCACAAATCATTGCTGGGGGAATTCAGCACATTGTGTATGACTGGGAGAAGCTGCTTGGGAGAATACCCTAGGAAGCAGGAACCTTGTTTCCCTCACTTAGCCCTGTGCATCTTCTCCTTTTGCTGATTTTTTTCTGTAGCTTTTCATTGTAATAAATCATAGCCATGAGTACAACTCTATGCTGAGTCCTGTGAGTCCCCTAGTGAATCATCAAACATAAGGGTGGTCTTGGGTATCTATGACACACTCATTAATGTTAACATATTAATGTTAAGATTAGCTTGCCAATATCTTCTAAAAGCCCTCTGGGATTTTGATAAGGAATGCATTGAACTATCAGTTTGGAAGCTATTGTCTTCTTAACCATATTGTCTTCCATTCCATGAATATGGATGTTTTTCCATTTATTTAGGTCTTTTTAAATTTCTCTTAACAATGTTTTATAGTGTTTGGTTTAGAAGTCTTGCACTTTTTAAAAATTTATTCCTAAGTAGTTTATACTTTTTGATGCTATTGTAAATAGAGTGATTTTCTTAATTTCATTTTCAGTTTCCTTATTGCAAACCAAATAGTTTTCACTATATAGAAATACAATTGATTTTTCTGTATTGATATTATATCCTGCAACCTTGCTGAACTCCTTTATTAGCTTTAGTAGTATATGTGTGGGTATGGGTATGTGTAAAACTTAGGGTTTTCCATATACAATATGACATCATCAACAAATTGAGATACTTTTGCTCCTTCTTTTCTTTTTAAGATTTATTTGTCTGGGGTGGGGGGAAGAGTGAGCACATGCAAACCAGGGGAAAAGCAGGCAGAGGGAGAAGCAGGCTACATCCTGAGCAAGGAGCCCAATATGGGACTGGATCTGAGGACCCTGGGATCATGACCTGAGCTGAAGGCAGACACCCAACCAAGTGAGCCACCCAGGCATCTCTGCTGCTTCTCTTCTAATCCAATACTCTTTCTTCCTTCTTCCTTCTGGCCCTCACTATGTTTCTTTTTCTCTTCCTTCCTCCCTCTCTCTTTTCTTCCATTTCTTTTTTCCTAATAGCACTGACTAGACTTTTCAGTACAAAGTTGAACAGAAGTGGCAAGTGCAACCTGATTTTAAGGGAAAAACATCCAGTCTTTCATCATAAACCTAAGGATTGGTTGTAGGGGTTTTTTTTGGTAGATGTGTTGTTGTTGTGGTTGTGGTGGTTTTAATCAAACTAAGGCGTTTCCTTCCATTTCTAGTTTCCTTTTTATTTTTATTTTTATTTTTTTAAGATTTATTTATTTATTTATTTGACACAGAGAGAGAGAGAGATCACAAGTAGGCAGAGAGGCAGGCAGAGAGAGAGAGGGAAGTAGGCTCCCTGCTGAGCAGAGATCCCAAAGTGGGGCTCCATCCCAGGACCCTGAGATCATGACCTGAGCCGAAGGCAGAGGCTTAACCCACTGAGCCACCCAGACGCCCCTCCTTTTTATTTTTATCATGAACAGCTGTTGGATTTTGTCCAAAAATTTTTTCTGCATCTATTCAGATGATCATGTGTTTTTGTTTTATTTTCTATTAATATGGTATGTGACATTGATTTTTTGTATATACAACCAATCTTGCATTTCTGAGAGTAATCCAACTTGGTCATGGTGTATAACCCTTTGCTGGTGCTTTGTTGAAGATTTTTATATGTCTGTATTAATGAAACATTGCTTAGTAGTGTTCTTTTCTTGTGATATCTATGTCTGGTTTTGGTATCAGATTAATACTGGCCTCAAACAATATGTTGGGAAATGGGCCTCCAATTTTAAAAAATATTGTGAAGGATTGCTATTAATTTTTCTTTGTTTTATAAAATTCACTAGACTATCTTTTTTAAATGTTAAAAATAAGAAATATCTTTTACATTTAGCCATATATTTGCTTTTTCTTTACTCTTCATTCTTTTGTGTAGATCCATATTTCATCTAGTTCCTTTTGTGTGAACAGCTTACTTGATTATTTCTCACAGTACAGGCTTGTTTGTGATAAATTTCCTCAGCTTTTGTTTGTCTGAAAGGTTTGTTTTTTTTTAATTTCAGCATTTTTAGAATGTCACAACTTTCACCTCTGATTTGCAGAGTTTCTGACAAAATTCTGTCATTCTTATCTTTGTTCCTTAATATATAATGTGTCTTTGTATATATATGATGCCTTTAAGTTTTCTCTCTCTCTTCCTCTCTTCTCTCTGGAAATTTAATCATGATCTGCCTTGGGGTGGCTTTTTTTTTTTTTTTCTTAAGATTTTATTTATTTGTCAGAGAGAGATGGAGAGAGCACAAGTAGGGAGAGTGGCAGGCATAGGGAGGAGAAGCAGGCTCCCCCCTGAGCAGGAGATGCGGGACTCGATCCCAGGACCCTGGAATCATGACCTGAGTTGAAGGCAGATGCTTAACCAACTGAGCCAGCCAGGTGTCCCTTGGTGTGGCTTTTTTTAATGTTTATTCTCCCTATAGTTGGCTTTCTTGGATGTGTGGGTTTGTGGTTTCATCAAATTTGGAAAACTTTCCAAGAATTATTTTTTCAAATATAGTTTCTGTTCTCCCCTCTCTCCTTTCCTTCTTCTGGACTTCAGATACACATACATTAGGTATATTTGATATTTGGTATATTTTATATATTGGTATTTTTGGTATATTTGGTATATTTCCATATTTGGTATATTTACTATTTTTTGGTGTATTTCCGCAGGTAACTGATTCTTTATTCATTTCTTCCTAGTAATTTTTTTTTTTCATTTTAAATAGATGCTATTACTGTGGTCTTTTTGTTCACTGATCTTTTCTTCTGTGTCTAATCTGCTATTAGACAGTGAATTTTTTATTTCATGTGTCTTATTTTTCCTCTCTAGAAGTTTCATTTTGGTATTTTCTCTATTTTTTTGTGTCACTTTCATTATGTTCATGTTTTTCTTTCATCTTCAAGTATTTTTAAAATATTTTTTTAAAACTGCGTAAAGGTCTTTGTCTACTTCTTTCTTTACCCCTATTGGATCTTCTATTCACTTAATTTTTTCCTGGTTGTGGATCACGTTTTCTTGTTTCTTTGTATGTCCAGAAAACTTTTATTGGATGCTTGAGATTTTAAATTTTGCAGGTAACTGTTGGATTTATTGTCTTCCTTTAAAGAGCATTAGACTTCTTCAAGAAGGCAGTTAAATTACTTTTGGATGTTTGATCACTTTAAGGTTTGTTTTAAAGCTGTTGTAGGGCAGGTCTAGAGTAGCCTTTATTCTAGAACTAATTTCATTCTACTTCTAACATGTGGTCCTTCTTGCTTCCCTATTGAATACCTCATAGTCAATCGGGTCTCTCCACTCTGGCTGGAGGAATGTAAATTATTTCTATCCCATTATGAACATTATAGTAAATGTTCATCTTATAGGTCCTTAGTTATTATTCTTTCATGAGAAGTTATTCTTTCCTGGCTTCATGGAGTTTCATGATGCTCAGATTATTATTCAGCTGATAATACTCAAGGGGACCATATGCAGGCTTCTGAACTTTTTAATTCTTGTTTGCATAGCTCTGTTCTTTCCAGGACTCTGCCCTTCAAATTCTAGCTGCTTTGGCCACCCAGAGCGATGATCCTGGCTTCTCAACTCAGTGGAATCATTGGACTCTCCATGTCCTGCAGCCTGGTAACTGCTTCTAGGCAATAAGCTGGGGCAGTCATAAGATTTGACCCAAGGGTTTCCCTTTGTTCACAATCCTGTGATTGTGAACAATGTCTGTGGTCCAATGTCTGAAAATAGTGACTCATATGTTCTATCCAGTTTTTAGTTGCTTACAGTATGAGAATATTCTGGCCTGTCTTCTTCCTGAATAGTCAGAAGCATGTCTCCACTGTGTCTGCATGTTTAATCTGACAAGGCTGTGCCAGCTGGCCTGCATGATTAGCTACAGCTATCTGTGCTCCCACCAGCAATGCCTGAGGTGTCCTGTGGAGGTGTGGAAGTATTGAGCTGGAACTCTAAAGCAGACTACTGTCTTCACTCTGCTCTTTCTCCCTTGCCCTTTGCAGAAAAAGTGTGAGCGCTACTGGGCTCAAGACCAGGAACCACTGCAGATTGGGCTTTTCTGTATCACCCTGGTGAGCTGGGGCAGAGGTGGGAACAGTGTTTTATGAAGTCTTGGATGTTGTGGGAGGTTTCACAGAAGATTCTCAGGGAAGCTTTTGGGCTGGTGTGAAAGACTGAATAGTTTTGCCATAGTCCTCTCACACTGCAGGAAACTCTCTGGTGTTAGCCTGCAAATAGTCAGAACTCAATATATACTTGCTTTTGCATTTTAACTATGACCATGGTTATCTCTGTTATATAAATGTGCCTGGTTAGGCTCTTAAAATCCCTATTTCCCTTACCATTTCATAACTCAAGAAAATCTCTCTCAAGTCAAATATAGTTGGTGCATAATAGGTGCATTAAAGCTCTTGTTGTAGAACAAAAGAAATCTTTTTTTCCACTGTAAATGAGCTTGTTGTGGTTTTTAAAGATTTTATTTATTTATTTGACAGACGGAGATCACAAGTAGGCAGAGAGGCAGGCAGAGAGAGAGGAAGGGAAGCAGGCTCCCCAACGAGCAGAGAGCCCAAATCGGCGCTGGATCCCAGGACCCTGAGATCATGATCTGAGCTAAAGGCAGAGGCTTTACCCCACTGAGCCACCCAGGTGCCCCTTGTTGGGATTTTTAATCATAGTTCTTTCTCCCCTCTATCAATTGTTTCCTTTAGGAAAGCCATGGGGGCTGTTTGAGCTGAATGAATTTTTTAAAATATGTTGTTTGACTTTGATTTTTAATCAGAAATGCTTTGTTTTCTGCAAATGTCTTTTGGCACCTATAGTTTTTGTTCTCTTCTCTGTTCCTACCTGCCCCATATCCTCAGACAAGGAAGAGATGGCTGAATGCAGACATCATGCTCAGGACCCTCCAGGTTACTTTTCAGAAGGTACTTACAGGGGAAGGAGGAGGCTCCCATATGGGGGAGCTGTTTTCTGTCTCTGCTCTCTCATTGTAAAATGGGCATTAGCAATAGTACCTATCTCCTCAGTTATTATCTGTTGGATTTAAGTGAAAGTTATTTAGAACTGGGCCTGACATGCAGTAGGTGCTCAATAAATGATTTTTTATCATTTGCCGCTCTTTTCCTGAGTTTCAGGAATGTCGTTCTGTGTACCAGCTGCAATATATGTCCTGGCCAGACAGAGGAGTCTCTAGCAGTCCGGAAATTTGTGCTCACCATGGTGGAGGAAGCCCGTCGCCTCCAGGGATCTGGACCCAGCCCCCTCTGTGTCCACTGCAGGTTTAAGAAATGGGTTTTATGGGGGTCTGATGAGACAAAGATGACTGGGAGTGGGGGAGGGAGGTCAGTGCAGGCCTCGAAGCCAATGTCACAGTTTGATTGCCTCTTTTGAAAAACCTGAGGCCATACTAGCTCATGCTGCATCAACTGAAATTTAGCATTTATTGAGCACAGACTGCCTGCTGGAGAGTAAACACAGAGTTGATGCTCAACAAATGTAAGCAATTAAAAAGTGTTTTGTTTTGTTTTTTTTTATTGTAATGTGGGGATTCTGATAATCAAAAGGTGGTGCTGGAGATCCTCCATTAGGACCCTCATTCCCAACCCCAAACACCCATACAGAAGGGGTTGTGGGCAGGTCCTGACCAAGCTTTTGCTTGCTCTTTCTTGTCAGCGCGGGCTGTGGGCGGACAGGTGCCTTGTGCACTGTGGATTATGTGAGACAGCTGCTCTTGACCCAGGTATGAATAGGGCATATTTGTGCTTATGCGTAGTGCAGATCCCATGCCCACCAGGTCCTGCTCATGACCTTCTCTGTCCCAGATGATCCCACCTAACTTCAGCCTCTTGAATGTGGTCCTGGAGATGAGAAAGCAGCGGCCTGCAGCTGTGCAGACAGAGGTGAGAGCCTCAGTCTCAATCCAAGAATACATCCCTCCTCCTCTTGTCTTCCATTTTTGATGATTCCTCTTCCCTACCAGGAGCAATACAGATTCCTATACCACACGGTGGCTCAGATGTTCTTCTCAGCACTCCAAAACACCAGCCCCCTTTATCAGAATTTCAAGGAAGTACCAAGGCCCCCTTCCTACTCTCTTCATATCTACCATCAAAGCCTCGGATGGAGACCAGGACCCAGAGAAGAAGTGTTTGGCCACCATGGACTCCTTCTGGGAGCAGGGACTGACTATGATATCCACCTTTGTCCTCCTTGCTACCTTATCAGACTGTTCTTCTTAAGCTTACCCCTTTACCCCAAGAGTCCATGGTCACTTCCATGGACTTCCCAAACAGGGGTCTGGCCAGTTTCCTCCAAGTCTCATACTCTTCCCCTCCTGTCTTTCCCCAGAATTATGCCCCAGTCTACAATGACGCCCTCTCCTTCCAGACTTCCCAGATGCTTCCCACCACACGGCGCCCACCCGGCCAGGTCCTCAGGTACCCAGCTCCATCTCTTCTTTCTTCCCTTTCCAATTTCTCATGCTCAGAGGCTAACTCTTTCCTCGTTCTTGAAACACCAGCCCTTCCTTGCTGTTCAGTTTACCAAATATTCAATGGCTCTTTCTTTGAACTGAGTCCAGGAACCTGCTCCAAGATGACACTGGACCCAGGGATCCCACTGCCTCTGCCTCTAAGGCTAGCCCCTATGTTAGCCCTTTCTTTGCTTCCCAAGTCATTAATTTAGCAAATATTTCTTGATGCCACCCACTTGTCAGGCCTCATGTCAGGTGCTGGGGACAGTCAACCTTCCCTTGCAGCAAATTTCACCCCATTGTCCTCGAAACTAGCTCTCCATTTTGAGGCTATCCCTTCCTCCCACCTTTAGATGCCACTTCCTCATTCTTTTATTCAGACATGTACACAGAAATGACCACCCCTTACCTAGCACCAATATCCTGCCCATTTTCCTGCCAGGCTGTTCCCTTCCCTTCACCCACCTAACTTGCCAGGCGCTCGAGAGACAGAACCGAACTCACCTCATCCAGAGATCCCATCCTCTCTTATCTGAGACCTGCCCGCCTGCTCTCTCTGACCTGACCTGCTAGCGCCTTGGGTGGGAAGGAAGCCCGCGGTTTGCGAGCTAGGCGCACTCCCCACCCCCTCCCTCGGCTCAGTCACTTCACTTCCTCCCCCGCCCTCCCCACCCGCAGAAGCATCTCGGAGCCTGGGCCCCCGGCCCTCGCCATGGCGGACACGTATGCGGTGGTGCAGAAGCGCGGGGCGCCGGCGGGCACCCGGGCGGGGTCTCGGGGGCGCGGCGCAGAGGAGGGGCCGCTCTACAGCCAGGTGACGCCGCGCGCCCGGCGGCTGCAAGCGCACGCGGAGAACGCGCGTGGGGTGCTGCCCAGCGGCGGTGAGTCCCGAGCGGGCAGGGGCGCGAGGCGGGAGGACCGGCACCCTCCTGCGCCTTCTCCAGACCCAGTCTTGCTGGGGTCGGAAAGGCCCTGGCGGCCTCAAGGACCCCCGCTCCTGAGTCCGGCCTTATCGGGGCCTAAGCTGACGTGTGTGCTTTCCCAGCCACGCTTCTGGGACTATTTCCCAACTCCCGTCGCGGCCGGAAGTGTGCCAGGCCTAGTCTTGGGCTGAAGGCTGGGTCCGTTTCCCTGGCGACACTAGCTACTCCAGGCGGACGCTTTGTTTTCCACTATGCCCCCTCTGGCTGCCCTCACAGCCCTGGCCCTGTCTGCCAGCTCAGGCTACGGGAGCATGGAGGATGCAGTTCTGCCCCGAGTGGGTCCCGGAGCTCCGTGGGGCTGCCTGAGTCAATCTTTGGGGGTGGTTTTCTGCCCGCAGTTCCTGCTGACCAAAGCCCTGCTGGGCCTGATGCCTATGAGGACGTGGTGGATGGAGCTCAGAGTGGTGGGCTAGGTAAGTTAAAGCCTGGGTTGCTGGGCATCCGCAGCTTCGAATCCCAGGATTTGGGGGTTTAGGGATGGTGGCATGGGGCTCACACTCTCCGAGTCCTGTGGATGTGGCTGCAGTAAACCACCAGGGCCTGGAGGCTTGAGGATGATCTTCCACACATCTCCGTGCCTCAGCTTCTCCACGAAACCCATGGTGCCCTTTTTCCAGGCTTCAACCTACGCATTGGAAGGCCTAAGGGGCCCCGGGACCCCCCTGCTGAGTGGACCCGCGTGTGAGTGCTGGACCCTGCCTGCCTGTTGCCCCACGTGGGCACCTGGACTGCTGACGGCCATTCTTTGCTATGTGAAGTGTTGGGAATGGGAAAGCTGGTCCTGGATCAAAATAAAAGTTTCTCAGGGTGGAAATGTAGGGGTTTTGCCCCAGTGATTATAGTATTCAAGGCTTGAGGCTGGGGGAGGTAGTTGGGAGATAATGGCTGGTGAGATTGCAGTGAACAGATTCAAGCATAAACATCAGGAATGGGCCCAACCCCAGAGGACTAGGCAGGTTCTCCCAGGTGTGAAGAAGAGGATGGACAGGTGGGCTTCTGGAGACTGCCCCATCACCATAATGGACTAGTTCATCTCAATATCTGATCCTTCCTCACTCAGACACCCAGCTGGACACAGAAATGGTGGGCCCTGAAAAACACTGATAGACACTCCCACCTCCCAACCACCATTCAGACAGATCCAAGCCAGATATAACAATCCAGCAGACTGATTTCAAACAAGTAAAAAGATCCCCACATGGGTACACAGACAAATGGACCCCCAACCAGGACAAGTAGATAGCCATACACCTAGACCGACCTTCAGAGGGACAGTCCACAGCTGGATGGATGGACTGCCAGTCAGAGAGATAAATCAACTAACAGCCTGACAGACCACCTCTAGCAAGAGAAACCATCAAAAAGACCCATCCTAGTTAGACAGCCAGCCAGACACTGGCCAGATGGACCCCTAAGTTGACAGATTCCCAGACAGACATAAACAAATCCCCAGCTGAACAGACATGTACATTCTCTCAGCTAGACAGACCCAGCCCCAAGTGGGTGGACAGACTGACCCAGTCAAACTTCTAACTAGCCAGATGGACTCCGAGCCATACAGAAAGAACCTTAATTGTACAGACAGCCTCCCAACAAGGCAGATAGGTAAACTTCTAGACAGGTGAATAGTTCCCACCAACTCACCAATTCCAAAGACCCACATTTTAGCAGACAAATTGATGCACCACCTGCTGAGAAGACTGCGGGGTGGATCCCCAGGCAGTCAACAGGCCAGATAAGTAGACTAACCCCTCAGAGAGATAAGCATCCTAAGCCAGACAGACCGCCCACCATCCAGACCATTTATCAGCTTGGCATGCCTTACAAATCAGCAGATCCTTCAAACAGGCTAGATCCCTGCTTGCCAGATGGACCCCAATCTCTCAGGGCCTCATTGGAGGATGAACCCCTATTCAGACACATGACGGATGACCCCAGCCAGAAAGTGAGGCACTATGCTCAGAGATAAATGAACCCCAAACCAACTGGCCAACTAGACCCCAAGCTGGACAGACAGAACCCAAACCCAATGAACAGCTGGACCCCCATCTGGAGAGATGAATGGACCCCTGACAAGTCAGACCCTATTTAGAAAGATCCCCAACCAGATAGACTAGAGTCAGACAGGAAGACTCCCAACCAGACTAACTCTGAGCTGTTCACATAGAATGGCCAGGCAAACCCCCAGTCCTTGAGCTGACAGCATATGCACACAGATTGCTAATTTGGCAGCAGATCTGCAGCTGGTAAGACAGACATCTAACCTCACAGTTGGACGGACCCTAGACCAACAGATCAGTCTGCAGATGGGCTGATGATCTCCCAAGTAGATAGCTAGAAAAGTGAACTCCAGACAGACTGAATGCCAGCTCGGTAAGACCCTCAGAAAGACCTTTGGCTAGACAGATATGCAGACCAGAAGCCAGAAGGACCACAGCCAGACAGATCCCCTACTAGACAGGTAGACACTCCTTGAGCCAGACGGATCTTCAGCTAGACAGACAGAAAAATGGGCCACCCAGCCAGAAAACAAACCATCCTCCATCAGGATGGATCTTCAAACGAGACAATCCCAAGTGGACAGTAAGACAAGAGTAAATTTACACTTGATGCTCCAAAACCCTGATCTTGCTCTATGAGCCTCTCTCCTAATGTGATCTCCTGACAGTGTCTGGTTCATTCAGGTGGATTCCCTTCCATCCCTCCCTAACACAAAAAGCTGTCCTGTGTCTGTGATGAACATGGACCACTGACTGAGGCCAGCAAGGCCCACATGCCTCATACAGTTACTGTGAGAATTCAGTGAAAGAGAGAATATAAATATTTAGTTCAGGAGCTTATGCATGATAAATGTTAGACCATAATCAGGTCTTTGCTCCTGCATTCAATATAGGTTCTGAGACAAGTCATTTGCCCTTTGTTGGTGAAAGGAAGATGAAACTTGCCTTCCTTGACCACAATAGTGCTTGCTGGCATTGGACTTAGTCAAGTGCTGTAAGGTCTCTGCACAAGAGTCAGTTCAACCAGCCGAAACCTGGAATTGCAGAGAAACTTAGGGATTCTTCAGCTTAATGGGGAACAGGAAGCCAGCACTACCTGGCATCCAAACTCTTTGACAAAAGGTAGAGCTGACCTCAGTGTAAAGAGGCACAAAGGAGGACCCAAGGCTGCTAGTAACAGAGGAGAGTTGAGGTGTCATTTAGAGTATAAAATTATCTCATAGCCAGAAATATTAAGTTCATTTGGCTCCAGAGACCCGAAGGGGAAAACCAGTAGTATCTTTGAGGAGAGGTGGCCTATGGCAGAAGGAAGAAGCATTATCTCCCTCCTTAGGGGAAGAAACTAATGTCAATTAGAGCATTGGTCTCTGGGGTCTGTCCTTAAGCCAGCACCCACTCAGCCCAATTTCCTACCAGAAACCATAACTGTGGAGTACAGTAGGCCCGTTTAGGTAAGATTTTTTAATAATTAGGTCTGAGGCTGAACTGTTTGCAGTTCTTAGCTGCCCATTCCAGACTGAAGAGTTTTTCTGCTGGAAGTGAGAACAGCACCCTTGTGACTATCTAGCAACATAGAAAAACCTGTAGGCTTGGCTTGCGAGGCAGAGCATTAAGGAGAATGCTGGGCTGGGCTCTTGACACATTTTATCTCATTTAATCTGTAAAGCAATGTTTGTAAGTTAAGTATTGCTACTGAGCCCATTTTGTAGATGCAAAGGAGACTCGGAGAAGATAGTTGTTAGAGATTCACACCCAGATTTAGATCTCAGTGTTTAGTATTACAGAAATATATGACTCTGAGCAAAAGAAGCCCTAAATCATTAAATGAATGTAAATAACTAGCACTGACTAGGTCCTTGGTGTAAACGTGGACTGAATCATTAATTTTCAGAGCAACCCACACACAGAGGTAAGTTTGTTATCCCCACCTTACAGAAGCCAGGAATAACTGCAGTGAACACAGCATCATTTAATATTTCTTTAAAGATCATAGTGGTTAATAGCTTGGACTCAGTCACTTACTAGTGGTTGGATCTTGAGCAAGTTTTCAGTGTCTCTCTGGTTCAGTTAGTTTCCTAGTCTATAAATAGAGGACAATAAAGTTACTTTTATCATAGGGCCACCACATGAATGATTGTTCAGAGCAAGATTGAATCTGGATTTTTACAACACACATAAAAAGATGTCATTTTTTCAGGGATTATTTCCAGAATAAAACAATTTACATAGTTCTAGTCTTGGTTAACAGTTACATTTTAAGTCAATGGGCAGAAAAATGTTTTCTTCAATGTATGGTATTGAGATAATTAAGTAGTCATTTAGGAAAGAAAGAAGTTCCATACATAATACCCTACAGGAGGACAAATCCTGAATGTATTAGAGATTTAGATATAAAATAATAAACCATAGAAGCGTTAGAAGAAATTATGGGAAATTTTCTTTATATTCTTAGACTGCACCAGTGTTTGCTTAATATGGAAAGACAGCAGAAGCCCAGAAGAAAATAAAATTTATTGCATAAAAATATTTCAACCTCACAAAAATCACCAAAGCACAGTCAGAAAATTAATGACAAACTTGAAAAAAATTTACAACTGAGATCAAACAAAAGGCTAGTTTTCTGAAATATAAAAAGCTCTTAAGAATAAAGGCCAAAAACTAAAGAATGTGCAAAGATGCCCTACCTTAGGTGTAATAAAAACCATGAAAACCAGAATTTTATACTGAGATAGCCGATTTCACTTATGTTAGCAAAGATCAAAAAGTTTAGTAACACAGTGTGTCATCTAAGATATAAGGAAACATTCTCGTATAGAGCCAGTGGGTATTTAAATGCATACAACCTCCATGGAAAGCACTTTAACAACATCTATTTAAAAATGCATATACTCTTTGAGGCAGAAATTTCATTTGTAGGCATTTATCTTCTGTGTGTACTCACAGAACTCTAAAATGACTGTTACACTGAGTTAATAACACTGTCTGTAGCAGCAGAAGACTGGAAATAAATGTTCGCAGTGGGGTCCTGGTTAAACAAATGCTATGATGGTATACTGTGCAGTGTAAAAAAGGGGAATGAAACCAGCTCTGTGCACTGGTGTGAACAAATTTCCAAATAACATTGTAAAATGAAAAAAAAAGGATATTAACTTATGTTATAAAAAGAATATTTTATATGAACATATATAAATATGTTTTGAGTCTTGAAAAAAGCACAAGAAATTTGACAAAGAACTGAACATCTGGGGGCCCTATCCTGCAGCCCCATGCGCTGTGCTCCAGCCGTCCTAACTTCCGTTCACCTCCTCAAACCTTCCATGTTCAGGCATTTGTGTTGGTTGTCCTATCTCCCCAGAGCCTCAAGTGACCATCTCTGACTATTGTGCACACTGAGGTCCCTGCCAGTACTGCTGGGGTGCCCTAGGGATCCACATCCAGCACTGTCCTACCACATAAAAAGATACCAGGACTTTTACCCACAAAGAGTAGCTAGTGTTCATTAGGCTTCTTATGTGGTAGGTACTATTCAAAGTATATTAACTATATAAATTCATTTAATATTCCCAAAGAGATTAAGTAGTATTTTTATCCCTATTTCATAGATATAAAAAACTTAGGTGGAGGCGTCGAGCAATCCAAGGTTACCCAGTTAGAAAATAGCAGAGATATATTTCAAACCTAAGCATTCTGGTTCCCCACCCCACCCCCAAAAAAGTGTAGTCATGCCTAAAAGCCTAAAGTTGAACTTTCTCCATGCTGACCTTCTGTAAATAGGTCAATGTCTCCATGAGAACATGGGATCAGAAGTTCTATAGCTA